AGGATGCGCGACGCGCGAAGATGGGTGGGACGCTCGACGTCCTCTGAATGCTCATCAATCCGTCATTTTTCTCAGATAAAACGACCTCTACTCATGTATTGGTACATAGAAAGGAAAACAAAAACACACAAAACACTAATACTCCAAGTATGAGAGATATTTATTTGGATTATTTCTGCGAATTTTTAATTCCACGAAAATTCGGAGGGACAGCTGCAAAAATATTCTTGTTTCTTCTTGTTTTAGTCAACTGACGTTTAGAAAATACTCGGATAAATCAGTCTTCCTCCGATCCTCGTAAGAGAATGTTTGTCACATTTAAATACGTGATTTTTTTCAGAGTCTCTTCGGGCCGGAGTATTGAATTAACTAATTAACTATTGAGTTCTATCAGTCGGTGACAGGAAATTTATAATCATAAGTTATTGACGAGAAATAAATTCTGGATGACATTGATTCTTTGTGCAGTATTCACTTGAAATTCATGGTGTGAGTGTATTAAAAATGTCAGGTGGGCGTTCGTTTGTCATGTTTAGAGGCTCTAGGACGTCATTTCTCGACCCGCTCTTTCATTTGAGCCCAAAAAAACATTCATATCTTGTCTGATATCTTTGCTACNTTTTCTTCTATTTGCCAATGTTTCCCATAAAAAAAAAATCATCAAAAAAACCACTTAATTTGTTTATAATTATTAATTGCACGCACTTACATGAAAAATACCACCGGATTCGGATTTCTCATACCCGAAAACATAAGAAAACACCTCAAAACCTTACCACACTAGAAGTGCACACGGGAAGGGGGTATTGCGTGTGGACTAATTGTTTTTTTGCGCCGATTCTATTGAAGTGAGAACCCAATTACTTTGTAACTGATAACACTGGAATCGTCATTCGGAGTCTCCGGCCTCGAAGAAAACGGCGAGGATGGAGCGGTGGTGTGAATCGTGGAGGGTGCGAAGCTGCTGACACCGCTGGATTCGCTCCTACTGCTGGGGGACGATGGTCTGCCTTCACGTGCATCGTGACCCGTTAAATGTGACACAAGTGTGCCGTAGTCGTTCACTCTGAAACCCGCCAGGGCAATTGCCAACGATAGCGCCATTATTGTTGTCAAAGACTTCTGAAGGTCACGCATGTAAACAGACGCGAGAGAATGCCCCATTAAATCACAATTCCTGATCTGCCCAATTTCTTCCGTCTCTATTTTATTTTATTCATTTTTATTTTATTTATCGGGACTCCCAGAGAGATTTGCATCGTGTTTCTCTCATGGTGATAATAATTTTCAGTTATGGGGAATTTCTTTCGGCGTCGAATCATCTTTATTTTCCATCTTTCAACTCATTATTTTTGGTTCGATCATTCAACGGAATAATTTCAATTCCCTTGAGATTATTTCGATTTTATATGAATGATTTAAGTAAATTCGTGATTTTATGATTTAAATAAATTCAAAATTGACGTTTCAATGTTCAAAGATGAGACTGAGAGCTCATGAGACACTGAAGTAGGAATGAGGGGCAAAATGAACTGTCTTTGATCTGCAATAGCTCGAGATTGACTGAATAAAATCGAAAAAATTTTGTTCCATATTCAAAATGTTTTTTTAAGCTTTGAAATGAGCCCCGAATTATTCAAACTGCATCATCGGATCAGCAGATATTGGAAATTCAAGAATGTTTGTTTTTCATCGGTTGGAGTCTTTGTAACGGGGCGAGAATAATACGAGTGGATAAATCCCTCACGGATCAGACAATCGATGAAAAAATTATTCGAAGAACAGACTATTCTAAAAATTAGTCAAAGAAAATGTTGAGGTGATGTTGGATGATGCGAGTTAATCATTGACGAGGAAATTGAAAAGGCACTTACATGGGTGAGAAGTTCTCTGGGATGTAAACAATTGGGGTTGACTGTTGGGAGCTGTGGTCAACGACAAACTGACTCGAAAATTTGTTTTCGTACTGTCGATAGCATCTCACGCAATTCCCGATTTTCACCGGAATTAAAGGAATCAATAGGCGAAGGTGAGGTGGAAAGGGAAAAGTTTAATTTGCGTTCGTGTGATTTTATAACTCTTTGACTTTTCGGTGAAAAACGTGACTCATTAGAAAATTCGGTTGCTTATCTGTACTTTTGTCAGTAGAAATGGTCAATGAAACGTGTTCTACAGAAAAAATTTATAGAATTCGATTTTTCTATACGATTTTTCTATATGATTTTTCTATATAACTTATTGTATTGAGATATTTTGAATAGAGAAATTCCGCGGCTCAAATTTTTTATTTTTTATTTGTTTTTATTTAATGATAAAAAAATAAAAATAGAAGAGGAAAATTTTAGGAAATTCATGTCGAGGAATTCTAGTAGAAAACGTTCCGATAGAAAAAGTTTTATAGTATCCAATTCGCTAAAAAATCTATTGAATTTCTATTGAATTTTTTATTTGTTTTTAGCCGATTCTATTGAAAAATTCTACTGCTTATTTGTATTTTTTCAGGCGCAATGTTCAATGAAAAATGTTCTACAAAAAAAATTGATAGAATTCTATTTTTCTCTACAACTTTTTTCATTGAGATATTTTCTACTCAAATTATTATTTTTTTGTTTGAGTCGTTTCAATGAATGAGGAAGAAAAATAGAGAAAGATTTTGGAAAATTCATGTCGAGGAATTTCAATACAAAAAATATTCCATAGAAAATTCTCTAGAAAATTGAATATTTTCTGCTGGATATAGCAGTAGAGCTGCGGACTTCTTCAATAGAATCAGCAAAAACTAATGGAATTGTCGATAGAAAATTCAACAGAAATCTAACAAATTTGTTTCCCAAATTACTAGGTTTTTCTATGAAACTGTTTCACGGGTCATTTCTCCTGAATCACGATCTTCATAAATTCATAACTGAACATCGATTGAGGAAATGTTAATGTGGATGATTAACCGCTCGCACCAGTTGTTTACCATTTCCCCAGTCTCCCCTTCCCGAAGGTTTACCTCGCCCGTGACCTTGAATTTGGAACTCGCCCGCCCCATGTTAAAGTGATGAAACGTGAAAATCGGTTTTTCTTATTTTCTTGAGGGATAATCCTTTCGATGATATCAAATATTGGATTAGAGTTATCATTTTATTGTCAATAACAATTTAATCCATTCCTATGAAAAAAATTCATAGAAAAATCCAGCGAATTCGTTAAACAATTCCATTGGATTTCTATTGAACTTTCAATTACTTTTTGGCCTATTCTGTTGAAAGTTAGTTATCGTGGGACAACCGATTTTCGAAGAAATTCGAAAACTAAACGATCAATTAAATTTTGATAATAGCGGTTGATAGGGCTCAACAATACCTACGTTTGATAGAAAAAGATTCAATTCCATCCATTCATTAGCGAACAAATGAAGAAAAACTTCGTTACATAACACAAAAAATCCAACACTTAAATTTCAACGTTTACAACGATTCCATTCGGAGCCAAAAACTCGGAAAATTGTAGCCGAGGAAATTCTATAGAAAATATCTCAACATAACTTTTTCTATAGATCGTGTCTGTTACAAAATTCTGTAAAAATCCAACAGAATTGTCTAGCGAATTCGCTAGGTTTTTTTATTGATTTTCTAAAATTTAATAATTTTTAAAAATTGTAATGTAATACAATTTAAAAAATTTATTAAATTTTAACATTTTTAAAAATATCTGCAGCCATGAGATCCAACAGAATTGTCTAGTGAATTCGCTAGGTTTTTTAATTGATTTTTTAAAATTTACTAAATTTTTTAAATTGTAATTTAATACAATTTAAAATTTAATACAATTTCAAAAATTTATTAAATTTTTAAATTTTTAAAAAATATTGGCAGCCATGAGAATGCGTTAGATTTCGTTATTGATGATTCGAAATTGATTAATTATTAGCTGATTCGACGTGAAGGAATCTATTATGTCCAAATGATAAAAATTGAACCCAATATTTCGACCCCTGTTCTTTGTCTACAAAATTTCTGCAGTCACAAGAGTGCGTTGAATTTCCCTCCTCCAATCGCGAGTGAGCCCCGCAAAAATACCGCAGGTGGGGGAATGTAGCGGTCATCGCGGCGGCCCAAGCCTTATTATTTACATTTTTTCCATTCCCGGACGTCCCCCAAAAACCCTCGACTCCCTCCGATTAGTGATCGCACCCCCCCCCCCCCC